CTAGACGTGCGATTGGTGAAACACCGTTTTCGTTAGTATATGGAATTTAGGCCGTTATCCCGGCTGAAATCTATGTGCCAAGTTTGAGGAGAATTGAGAATCCTCGAAATGAAGCAGCAAACTCTGAATTAATGGTCGATGTTATTGATACGATCGAGGAACGACGTGATCGGGCATTGATTCGGATGCATAATTATCAGAATGCCGCAGCTCGATATTATAATTCGAATGTTCGGAATCGGTATTTTGACGTTGGAAATTTGGTACTTCGGAAAGTGCAACAAAACACAACCGAAGATGGAGCCGGAAAATTGAGCATTAATTGGGAAGGTCCTTACCGAATTACACAAGTAGTACGTAATGGTGTCTATCGTCTGGAGAATATGGAAGGAAAAGCAGTTCGGAGAGGTTGGAATTCCATTCATCTGAAGAAATACTTTATTTAATCATTTTCAACACTTGTAAATCGAACTGCGGCAGACTTGATCCCGACCTGTGGGTACGTAGGCAGCTCGCACCCCGAGTTCAGTCTCTAAATCAATAAAATATTTACATTGTGAAAATTTTGTCTAAATATTAAAAGCCGAGAGCCATCTCGCGACTCGTAAAACCGAGAGAGATCTCGTAAATCCCCCTTCATAAACCAAAAAGTAATTTTCGTATCTTTTAAGATCTCCCTTATGCCCGAGCTCAGTGCTCGGACAAATGAGTTTACTTAACCTTCTTCTAAAAAAATAAATATTTTTCTGAGTAAACTTACTTAAGAAAAAGTTTGGTTCCACACAGTTCAACTCGGACTTCGGTCTCCGATTCCGAGTCTCGTGCAGTATTCCTCGGAAACCGAAAATACTTATGTATAGCTGGTTCCACACAGTTTAATTCGGATTTCGGTCTCCGATTTCGAGTCTCGTGCAATATTCTTCGAAAACCGAAAATACTTATGTATTTCATATACCTAAATTTCCCTTATCTTTTATACGAATTCCGAGTTCGGAAAAAGAGAATCCTAAAAGTTCCGAGGACTTGCGGTTGCAAAAAGCTTTTTCGAAAGGGAAATTACTTAAAGTCTTTTAGGAAAAAAATCCAGAATGCAAAACATATAGGTTCGAACTAAAAAAAAAAAGTACATAAGGGGGGCCACTCAGGCCACAACAACCCCGAAAAACAAAGCAAAGATCCTTAAGCTTCAGGATCCTGCTGCTGCTGCTGCTCCTCCGATCCTTGAGCTGTTTTGAGTTCCGCCTCGGACAAGAGATATTTTTTAGAACCAAACTCATCGATGGCAAGTTCCTCCTCGGTGTAAGGACCTTCTAGTGCCGGTTCAGGAGGAGTGGCCACGAAGAGATGAGCGAACTCATCAGGGCGGGGTTTGAGAGCAGTTATCTTGCTGGCTTTAGCTTCCGCCTCCGCTTCATCTTTCTTCACGGATTCCAGCTCAGCGTCGATGTCTGGGATTTGTCTCTCTTGAGTTCTTCAAAGAGCTCCCGGTTTGCCCTAGTCTCTGCAGCTCGGTTACTTATCGACTCATTCTCACTCAGGGCTTTCAGATAAATCTCCTGCTTCGAGATTAAGCCACTGTAGTGTTCACGAAGTCTTTTTCGTTCATCTTTCCTTGCCGCGGTGAGCTCCTCATCCCGCTTCTCCGCAGCAACCTTGCTCCACTCCTCGCTTCGTTTGACTTCAGCCTCCAGCGAAGTTATTTTGTCGCAAGCATCGAGGTACATACTCTTTCCGGTCTTCGGCTTCTCGGACAGGTTGGTCTTCGCGATCTCGAGAAGGTTACAGCGGCCCTCTACTTCAAGCATTCGTTCCCGGATCTCGTTCGCCTTTGCCATAGCCTTGGCATTTTCCTCCTCCATTTCCTTAAGTTGGCGGATCTCCTCTTTGAGTTAAGCAACTCGGACCCTGAGGCCGTCCAGCTCGTTGATGGGGAAAAGTTGGGATTCATGGCAGGAGAAGGTAGTATTGTACTCGAGCATGATCTACAAAAAAACAAAATCGTTAGTATAAGTAAAAAAAAACTAAAGGGAAAGTCTAGAGTTTAGGGTTTAAGGTTTAGGGTAGTATTGTACTCGGACCCTGAGGCCGTCCAGCTGGAGTAAAATTCCTCATAAGTCAGCAGGCGACTTCGGAGGAGCTGCGAAAAAGATACAGAAGTTAGTATGAAGGTATATTCTTCGAAAAGAGAACAAAAAAGTCGCGAATCAAAGAAATTTGGTTACCAGTCGGGATCGGAATTTCTTGTCGGGAAGATTCCCTGTTTTCAGAGTCTCGTGAAGGCAAGACAATAAGCTGGATTGGGAGATCGGGTTGCGGAGTCCCCTGGGGGATACCTTTCTCTTCGGGTTTGGACTCCATACTCGAAGTCCCAACACCCTCGGAAGGATTTTCCTTGTCGTTCAAACGAGAACGACCCTTGCGACTGAGAGGGAGGACATCCGAGTCCTCACTCTTGCGTTTCCTCATCGAGGTCGCAGTAGGTTCACCTTCAGAATGCTCCTTTTCCCGAGAGGACCAGGAGGAGCGGGAATCCGAAACTCGGATTATGTTCTTTCCTGAAGACCCCTTCTCTTGATCTCGACGATCGGAGGTCTTAGATTCGGACACCAGCGCAACAGAGCCGGATGACTTCCCTTTGCCAGACGAAGACCTGGCTTTTCCTTCTTCCAAGGCCTTCACCATCTTGGCCTTATCTTCTTTCTCTCATGCCTCCCTAGCTTTTTCCCTTTCCTTCTGCAATCTTTTCTCTTCGCGGTAGGAGAGAGGAGACATGTTCTCAGCAATAGCGGGGGAAGTGCAAGGTGGAGAAGAAGTGATGAGGTCGGGACAGCTGTAGATACGGGAACACGAGCTCCGGATTCGCTCACAAGTAAAGAGTTCCCACGCTAGATCGCTGCGGTTGCAAATATTTATAAACTGCTCCGCAAAGGTATGGGAAACTTGCTTCTTCGGGAACTTAACTACAAAACAAAACAAAAAAAGGTTAACTCAACGAGGAGCGAAGTAAAGCGAGGAAAACACACATAATCATCCCTAAAGAGCTATCTAACCAGGACAGCGTGTCCAATCTTGGACAAAGATGCCCGTATTCGAACCATATGAAAACTCGTTAACAGGGAAGAAGAAGTATGACTTCCTCCACTTCTCGTCTTTCTCAGGAAAGTCTCCAAAAACCCTGAAGTGACTTCGTGGACTAAGAAAGAATGTCCCCGGAGTACGCCTTTTCTTCATTGTATAGAGTTGAAAGATGTCAGCTAGCGAGATCCGGTATCCGTTCTCCTCCGCCAAAGACTGAAGGCACAACACGATTCAAACTATGTTTGGACAAAGTTTAGGTAGAGCAATCCCCAACTCGTGCATAAGTTCCACCAGAAGCCCCGGTAGAGGAAAGGACAGACCACACTCCGAAAAGAATATCTCAAAGGCGCAAGTGTGGTCGGAAGGAGGAGATTTCGGAGACTCCTTGGGATCCGGAGCAACTAGTTTAACCTGACGTGGGATCCCGCAGCCGCCCTTCATCAGGGCCAACTTCTTATCATCGAGATCCGAGGAGAAGTACTTTCCGAACTCACATTCTAAGATAAAGGACTCGCTCGGGATTTTCTTGCTCTTCCTCGGAGCCATAACACAATTCTGATAATTCTTGAAGTTGAAAAAGAGATCTGATAACGAAAAGCTGAAGAACACTCAAGAACAACCATGAAGAACCTATGAAGATCTTCACCGAAACCCAGAAGAGGAGGAGATCCGGTGGTGGATATTCTTCAGGAGTCGGAGGTGAAATGCCGGAATTCGGAAGAACACGGCGGAGGAATACTGGATGATGGGAGTTCTTCGTGCCTAACGGTTGAAAATCTAAAGAACCTTTAGATCTACGACCTAAACCTAACGCAAAATCGACACTAAAAAGCAAATCTACTTCCGAAAAACCTAAGCAAATTCGGGAATTCACAGCAAGAAATCGAAGAAAGTTAAAGAGAGAAGAGAGAAGAAGTACCTTTTATAAGCGCAGAGCAGGAGCGGTTCGAAGATAATGAAGACGTGTATAGAACACGAAGAGTCTGTCTGAATATATAGAGTGAGTGGGCGGCAAGCTTGGGAACCCTAGAATCACGAAACGTCACCTCGTTCCCGAGGAGAATCCCTCGATCCGCGGGAAAAGTAAAACCCTGGAGTACTGAAACGTCACCTCGGACGCGGAAAATCCCGGGAATAGTGGCATTTATGTCAAGTTTCCGTCTTTGGAAGATCTGGTATATTTGAAGTATCCCGAAGTGGATTTACTTCGGAACACTTGGGGGGCAAATTGTTGGTGTCGGATCTCGCATGAGATCCAGCCCGAATCATTAACAGGCCGAAAAGATCAAACGGGCCTGTATATACTGGTTCGTTTGGTGGCCCATTGGAAAAGGCCCATTAAGTTTGAATTAGTGCCAGGATAACGGAAGGATCTTCCGTAATTAAAACAAGGCATATGTCACGGGGTGCAGAGGCGAAAAAGATTTGTAACGTACGGAGTAATGAAGGCGGAAGTCACGGTGAGATTAACGATAACGGACCTCGAGAATGGGATTATAAATAGAAAACAAAAACCATTGTAAAGGGGATCCGAAATTTTTTGAGCAATAAACGTATTCATACATTTTAATCTTTCTTTTAAGTATTTTAAGATCAATATTCGTATTATCAAGGCTAGAGACCCCGCACGTATACAGAAAATCGATATTGCAGATTCCAGCATCCACAACGGGGACCTCTTCAACGGCAAGGGCTTTCTTAGATTTATCCCCAGCGGCTATTATTCGTGACAACGTTCGACACTATTCTATGGAGTATCCTTTATTTTTATGATATTTGTAATATTTTTTGAGGTTGGGGGTTGGGGTCTGGGTTCTCGTCGTACTCGGCCTGGTTATCGATTGCAAATAGTTTGTGCTGACCTTGGGTCTGGGGTTGATTTTCCATTCTAAAGGGTTTTTTGGTGTTAAACTGGGTACTTTATCCTTTAGACTCTCTGAATTTGAGAGCTAGGTATGCAGTTTCTTCCTCAGCTCGTGCAAAATGGAGCGCCTTATGGAGGGCATCGTCCAAGGTAGCTGGTTGCCGGACTGTGAGTTTCTCACGGAATCTCGAGGAGAACCATAAGCCGTTGCGGAGGGCTGCTAGGGCAACCTCTTCGTTTAGATTGGCAATCTTTGATTTAATCGTTTTGAACTTTTGGATGTAGGATCGCAGAGGTGCATTCTGGAGCTGAGTTAGGTTCCACAGGTCAGCTTCGGATGTTCTATTTACGATCAGCACCGAGTACTGTTTGAGGAACGCAGCTACGAGTTGGTGGAAGTTATCAATAGAATTTCCTTCGAGGCTTGCAAACCATTCTAGGGCATGTCCTACGAGGTTTTCTGCGAAAAACGGCAATGTCCCGCTTCGCTCTCCTCGTCGGTCAGGTACGCTCTTGTTATGGCTAGGCGGAAAGCCCTCAGGTGAGCTTTCAGATTGGTCGTCTCGTCGTATTATGGAAAGTGTATGCGGAAGTGAGTGACTCCATCCGTGAACGGAGTTCGTCTCGTTTCTTCTAGTACTCGATATATGTCGGAAGCGTAGCTCACCGCCATGTGCACCTTGGAGTGCATCTGGGCCATATTAGCATTGGTTTGCGCAGCGTAGTTGCGAAAGGTTTCCATATCTACGATGCTTCTGGGATCGAGGAGTACACCGGTGGGACGCTGCGTCGCGTGTTGTTGAACGGCATTGGAGTTCCCGTCGAGGTTCGTACTACGGAGCCGTTTTGAGGATTTCCCGTCGAGGTCCGTACTATGGTAGGACCAGAGGGGGGATCTCCCATTGGAGTTCGTAACTGTGGTAGGTTCCCGGGGGCGTGGGTGTCTGGTTCCGTATCCATGTGTACCTAGATGGCGAGTAGCCTCGTGGTAGGAGCGGTGGAGACGGTAACCTGGGAAGGTCGGTGTGACTCGCGCCTCTGCTTCCGCGGATGGGTTTCTCAGGGAAGAGGTTGTAGGCGTGGGTCAATCGATTATAGGTGCGAATGCGACCTATCGGTTAACGCGAGGGTTTACCTCTTTTCCCCTAAAGTCGAGGTGAGTTCGAGGGGTCGACTCCGAAGGGAGAGTCGTGCCGCTAGGGCGGACGGAGGTCGACGGAGGATCTGGGGTTGCCTGGGGGGGTCTCCCTGCTTCAGGTAAAGCGTTGATGAGCTCGCGCTCTTGCTGTTCTATCTGCGCAACTAGGCTTCAGTTCAAGATTTCCTGTGTTTGGCTTCTTTCAACCAAGGTAAGGATCATTTTGCGGAGTTCGGCCAACTCGTCAGCAGATCTCCTGGCGATTTGCTCAGTGATACCGCTTGATTGTGCAATGGCAGGTCGATCCGGCTAGGAGATCCCGACGTGCTGCGATCTCCTCCTCATTCAACTTGCGTCGGTGGAGGAGGTTGTTCCAAGTCGGACGAGGTCAAGTTTTCGGGTTGGTTCTCCGCTTTGATCTCACGGGGGTTTGTGGTTTGGATTCCTGACGGGAGATCCGTTGGGAGGCGTTGCTCCAGGTCGATGACATTTGAGATCGAAGCTGAGGAGCCGGATTTTGTTGAATCGGAGGACATGGGATCCATTTTTGTTGTTTCGCAACGGATGCGTTAGCTTCGGTGTCAGAAGAATCTATTTTTTCCCCACATACGGCGCCGAAATGTGGGTGCTGAAATCCACACTCGAGATTTGTACTTAGTTTTTATGGGCAAAGAGGACTAGATCTTCAATGAAACCCTGATAATGATGATTGAGCAGGTCGGCTAAAATCTCGGAACAGACCTGAGCAGGTCGGACTGATTTTACCACAGTCCACCAGCTCGAGTGTTAGCTGACCGGACCACCCAGCTGGGTCAGTACTCGATCAGTTCACCGAGCTCGGTTGAGCTGCCGGTCAGCTCACCTAGCTGAGCTAGCTAGTCCTCCAGCTGGTTTAGCTCACCTAGCTGAGCTAGCTAGTTCATCCAGCTCACCTAGCTGGATTAGCTCGGACAGTTTCGTCCGTTCTTTTCGGCTAAGTCTTTCGGTCCATTTCTCGGCCTTGACTACGCCATTTCTAATCTTACCATGATCATTTCCCCATGATCACTAGATTATCCCGAAACCGTCTAAGTCATCTACCCTTTTCATGACTTAAACGTTTCATTCCTTCCTTGGGTTAACTTTTTCATTGGTCTTTCTCGACCATGATCTAGTTTTCCCTAAAACAAACCGGCCCCCTTTAGGATCGCGGGACGCGGGTGTTACAGGCGTCTTCTTTCTTTTTCCCTTCCTCTTCATCCTTTTCGTTTTTAGTGTACAAATTTCTACCTGGATGGCTTTATCCAAAACATTGTTTCTTTTATTTGAGTAAATATACGAGCTATTCTGAATGGTTTCTGTATTAAATCGTCTTTTAGTCCTAAGTCAAAAACATGGAATTATGTAGCCGAAGCAAATTTTAGGTACCAGTGTTTTAAGATAACTAGGTTTTAGCAAAATAGACTTTAATGTTCACGGTCGCGACCCGATCGGATTCAGTCGATAACCAGTGTTTAGAAACGAACTGGGCACCAGTGTTAGGAATAACTAGGGTTTCGGAAAACAGAATTTTAGTCTTCTCGGATTCTCCTGATCAGATTCTGTTCTGAATACTTATATAGCGCGCTGTGACTGAGGCGGTGTAATAAATACTTGAGGAAGTGATAAGTCAGTTCGTGGACATGGCCGTCGCCGATGAGAACTATGTATACGTAAGTTTGAAAGGAAAGTAGAAACCTGAAGTGGAAGTTCTAAAAGAAAAGTGGGAGTATAGATATACGGACCCCACTCCCCCCCCCTTTTTATGGGGGGTAGCTGAACTCGTCTGACGCAAGCTGCCTACGTCCCCTTTTCATTGATCAAGCCACTTCGTAGTTCAATTTTACGCATACCTTAGGTTTTAGTGGTAGTATTTCGTAAGATGCATGGCGTTCCAGGATCTTGGAATTTCTTTGCCATTCATGTTGGTGAGTTCATACACACCGGGGCGAACGACTTTTGAAATTATATAGGGTGGTCCTTCCCAATTGGCCCCCAACTTTCCTACGTTCAGCTCGGCAGTAATCTGGAAGACCTTACGAAGCACGAGATCTCCCGCGTGAAAATGTCAATGCTTTACATGTGAGTTATAGTACCGAGCTGTTGGTTTTGGTAGTTCTGAACACAGACTAAAGCCCTATCTATTCTTTCGTTGATCAGGTCCAGTTCGTCGAGCATCATCTAGGTATTGGCATTTCTTGCTCGGAGGATATTCACCTTTGTATCCCTGGTATTTCGAGTTCGGCAGGGATTACACATTCCGTACCGTACACCAGAGTGAATGGAGTCTCTTCGATGGCCCGACGCGGTGTCGTTCTATGGAACCAAAGTTCTTCTTCCAATTCGTCAGCCCAGCGGCTTTTCTTGGCATCGAGGCGTTTCTTCAAGCCATCGAGAATTGTTTTGTTTGCTGCTTCTTCCTGTCTAATGCCCTGGGGGGTACCGAGGCATATATTTGCTCAGTCGAATCACCCATTTATCGTAGAATCCTTTGAACGGAGCCGAGATAAACTGGGCTCCGTTCTCGGTAACGATTTCATAAGGGATCTCGTGGCGACATATGATGTTTTTCCAGACAAAGCTTTCCACCTGTGCGTCCTTAATGTTGGCGAATGAATCTACTTCGATCCATTTGGAGAAGTAATCAAATAAGACGAGAACTAGCTTTTTCTGCTTAGAGTTGTGCAAAGGGCTGATAATGTCCATGGACCAGTGCATGAAGGGGTAAGGCGAGGTGATCGAGGATAAAAGCTCGGCGGTTGATGGATTGTCGGGGCGTGCCTTTGGCATTTATCGCATCGTTGAGAGAACTTCTCCCAATCTTTAATCATCATTGGCCTGAAGTACCCGTGGCGTTTAATTTTGATGGCTAAGGCTCTTCCGCCGAAATGATTTATGCATGACACGACGTGCACTTCTTCCATGATTTTACAGGCTTCTGCTCTTTCCACGCAAACTAGTAATGGACCGGAGCGGCGCTATTTGAAAAGTTCGCCGTCGAGTAGAGTGTAATGAGCTGCCCGTGCTTTGAGCTTCCGAACTTCCCATTTATCAGTCGGCTATGTAGCTTCGGATGGCTCCTATCCATTTAATGTCGCATTCATACTCGGCCTCGATGCTATCTTCTGTTTGTTGATCGTGCGGCTCGGTGAGTGCATCTTCCTGGTCTGCTTTTCGAGCCATTAAAATGTTATCTTCGCTGCTAACTTCAATACTCGGTTTTTCGATGAACTCGACCGTTATGACCCTTTTTAGATTTGGGTTGGAGGTTGAAGCTAAGGCTGCTAATGCATCGGACGTGTTCTCGCCTCATGGGATTCGTGTCAGCTCGAACTCGCTGAATTGTCTTAATAGATCATGTGTAAGAGTGAGGTAGGCTGAAACACCCCGACCTAGTTTGCAAAAACTCGGCCACAAGGCACCCAGAACACCGCCTCACCGGAGACCCAAAATTCCAGCGAAACTCCGACGACTTCACCGATTTGCTCAAAAAACTCTCAAGACACAGATTCAAAACGACTCAAGCTAACTACTTAACTTAAACCATTCTACACAGCCAAAAAACTCTACAAAGCTAAGCTAATACGTACAAGTACCTTAGCCATTCGTAGACTCTGATTCCTCCGGATCTCCAAGCTTCCATAAACGCATCCCGTATTCCACTCCGATGACATGATCTTTCATCGTCACCATTCCGATCACCACTCCCTTGTATCGGCTACTAATGTCACATCCAACATCTCCCTTCGTACAAAGTCACTCAACCAACCATCCCCACATAACCGAGTACGAAAGAGATGTTCGGATTACACATCAGACACCGAACATTCGTGTTACCCCACGAGTACTACCAAAACACCATAATCATGATCCTTCCGAACACCGGAACACCCCAAACATATCCGCTCTAATCGTCAGACTAACCAGATTCTATCCGCTCAAATCAACAGACTAACCAGACTCCATCCGCTCTTCTGATCAACAGACTAACCAGACTCCATCCACTCCGATCAACTAACAGTATCGATCCGATCTGATCATCCAAGACTGACTTTAAGCAACCGCCATGTACTACTAGATAACTGCTCTCGATCATGGACTTCATCCGTACGATCTCTCTAGACAAATTCTCAGACAATACGCATAATCACAGCGTCGCCTGATCATCGATGAGACAGTTTCAGTAACCACCGGACTCATGACCATCGCAACAGACTCTCGGTAACCGCTTGTACGGCTCGATCAACTCTCTCAGACTCCCGATAACCATCACACGCACTATGATCACCACAAGCAGATTCTCGATCACCGAAACCAGATACTCGATCACCGAAACCAGATACTCGATCATCGCAACAGATACCTAATCACCGTAACTAGATACTCGATCACCGGGTACCCACAGCCCAGTAACCGCTCGACGGATTCAACCACCAAAATACCCCGCTAAGTAACTGCTCGACACTCATGCCTAGGATTATATATGTTCCTTATAGAGATTTCTACCAGTTACTTTAAACTGGTAGAAATCCCCACCCTTTTCTATTTATAAACGCGTTAGGGTGGTTTTCTTGGCCAAAACCGCCCATAACCGCCCCACTATGTAGATCCACACATTCCATCGATCACTCCTTCGTACTTCTGCACAATCCGGATAACCGTCCCACCTGCAAGATCGTGGAATAGCCGTTGTGAATCTAATCGCCCGATTCAAACCCGACGGGTCAACACACGGATCCTCGAACTGATTCCCGGAAAACTCGGACATAACAGTTTTCTCGATCCGATCGTATGGTTCAATCCGATCACGTACGGAATAGTCCGGATCACTTACGGAACAGTCTGGATCCAAAAAATCGTCGTATATGATCCAATAGCCGAAGAAGAGCTTGCTGAAGCTTTCACCCAAATGAGTCTTGAACGAACAACTCCCCAAGGTATGAAATCTTTTGTGACAGGTCCAGAAGCCCCTAGAAGCCAAGAGAAGACTTTGGAGCTGCAGGAGACGTACGAGACAAGCTTCACTTCCGAGAGTGATCAAGAGAGTCAAGATCAAGACCAAGACACCAAGGACGTGGAAGAGCTCCAAGACACTGATCAAGATACTCAAGAGGAACTCCAGGAAGGCCCCTACTTCAAGAAACCAACAAGTAAACGAGCACAAGATATGACTCCTGAAGTAGGTCAGCGAGTACTACAGGTTGTGACTCAGAGAACGTCTATTGGGCCTAAAATGCATCCCGGTAAGTTTTATTCAATTTATACTATCTTTGCAGGTCCAATAAGCCCACACAACGGCTAGACTCGTCATCAAAGCGTGCTCCTCAAGAGAGTTTAAGTAGTTTCCTTATTTAGTTATTTTCTTTCTAAAAATAATGGTTTTTGTGTTTTGCTTTAATTTGCTTCCTTTTTTGTGTTTTTGCATTTATTTTCGGCCCTAGGGCTAGCTGAAGGACTCTTATAAAGTCCCCATGCAGCAGTTGTACAATTTTTACCCTTGATTATCAATAAAGAACCCGAATTTTCTTACTTCTTCTCTTTTAGTGTTCTTGAGAGAATAAGCTTGTTCTTTGTCTT